AGTACTTTTGAAGCTGTTTCTTGTTTTTATTTTTGTTTTTAAAATAAAAACTAAATGCTGCACTTAACATCCTGTTATTCACAATCTCATTTTATTTAGCCTATCACCTCAACTTACCAAGATACTTAGAAATCCCAGTTGTCATTAAATATATTAATTTCTGCTTAATTTTGTGTTTTTCTTAAATGTATAAGCATAACATGCCATTTCCTATGTCTTTGTTAAAATAATGATTGGCCTCACAGGTGTATGTATAATGAGCATATCACTAGAAACTTCTCTTCATATGCCATTATTCTTTGAGTCTCTTAATATTTCATATAAGTTCATTTTATCTACAGAGGATTACAAAAAAATTGATAACTAGAATACTATGGAAACCTATTCTCCACAAATACCTGGAGATAATGTTAAAATTACACTTCTTGTTGGTTTTGTCATTCTTCTTAATACAATACTAGACTCATGGGAGATACAAATAAAAAAATTTCTATGAGCCAGAACCAAAGAGAGAACTAAAACTCAGAGTGATATACATACAATCTGTCATTGCAGCTGTCTTGGGGAGATGGAGAACCAGTAAGAGATAGATACTTGTGTATGAACATGCACTTAGGGACAAGAAATAAGGCCCAGGGCCTGAGTGAGATGAAAAATTGGAACTGAGATTTCCATAAAAGGCTGAATCTCATAAAGGACTGTACCCCATAAAAAGAGGAACAAGACTTTCCACTAATTGGCCCTGAAGACCACAGGGAAATTTATTCCTGACCCCAGCTCTGGATAGAGGATGGAATTTTACCTTGATAAATCAAAACCTGAAATGAAAACTTTTGAGTTTGGAATATAAATTTTAACCGATTGTAACATGCTGGAACTCCATGTTAAGAAATTAACATAAAGTGGGTCCTTGGCCAATAAGATACCACAGTTACTTTCTAGAAACAAATGCAGGCTCTTTTCAGTAAGACAAATTGCACAAAGGCCCTGCAACAAAAACAAGCACTGCTTAAGATGAATTCTTCATTTTTTTTTTAATTGTAAAACTAACAAGCAATCAATCTACTATGAGTAAATATTAGCAGATATCACAAACAGGATGATTAGAGTACCAAGAATCTTAGATAATAATCAGCAAAGCAAAAGAAGCCATAACACAGTATGTTAAATGATTGAAGAAAAAAGTTTCAGAAACAACAAGGAAATAAAATGATTGTGGAAAAAATAGGGAGATTTTTAAGAGAACCAAATAGAACTTTTGGATAGGAAAAATATAGTCATTGAAATAAAAAATCAGTGGGTAGATTAGATTTATTAGACACAGACAAATTAGTGGAGTGGCAGATGGATTCGATGTCCACAGAACAACATTTTTAAAGCTTTTTTTTTTTTTTTTTTGGTGACAGGGCCTCACTCAGTTGCCCAGGATAGAGTGCGGTGGTGTGATCTCAACTGACTGCAACCTCTGCCTCCTGGTCTCAAGCAGTCCTCCCACCTCACCTCCCAAGTAGCTGGGACTACAGGTGTATGCCACCACACCTGGCCAAGTTCTATATTTTTTGTAGAGATGAGGTTTTGCCATATTGCCCAGGCTGGTCTCAAACTCCTAAGCTCAAGCAATCCACCAACCTTGGCCTCCAAAAGTGCTGTGATTACAGCCAAGAACCACTGTGCCCAGCCCATTTTTAAAGTTCTAAAAGAAGAAAAAACTTCCAACATAGACTTATATACCCAGAGAAAATATCTTTCAAAAACTTAAGTAAAATAAACATTTTTTTGGACACACAAAAACAGAAAAAAAATCATCATTCATAGACCTTCACTAAAAGAAATGTTAAAGGAAGTCTTTCAGGGAAAAAGAAAATGATGCCAAAAGAAACTATGTGTCTACTCAAAAGAAAGAACAGTTTTAAAAATGGGAACTGAAAGGTTTTTTTTCATATCTTATATGAATCTCTTTAAAAGACAATTGACTTTTAAGTTAAAGACAAAGTAGCAAGGGGTTAATAATATATGTAAATTAAAATGTGCGACAATAGTACAAAGGCCAGAGAAATGGAAGTATACTATTGTAGGTTCTAGAATACTATACATGAAGAAGTATAATAGCACTTGGAGGAAGACTGTGGTAAGTTAAAGATATATACTATTAACCCTAAAATGACTTTTTTTTTTTTTTTTGGAGACAGAGTCTTGCTGTCACCCAGGTGGGAGTGTGAAGCGGCACAAGCAATTGTGGGCACCCCCCAGGTTCAAGCGATTCTCCTGCCTCAGCCTCCCAAGTATCTGAGATTACAGGCACCTGCCACCACACCCAGCTAATATTTGCATTTTTAGTAAGACAGGGTTTCACCATGTTGGCCAGGCTGGTCTCGAGCTCCTGACCTCAGGTGACCCACCTGCCTTGGCCTCCCAAAGTGCTGGGACAGGTGTGAGCCACCGCTCCTGGCCCAAAACAACTATTAAAATAACAAGTTGAGGACCAGGGACAGCAGCTGACACCTGTGATCCCAGCACTTTGGGAAGCTGAGGTGGAGGATCCTTTGAGCCCAGGAGTTTGAGACCAGCCTGGGCAACACAGCAAGACCCCATCTCAAAAAACAAAAGATTAATTAGCCTGTAGTCTTAGCTACTAGGGAGGCTGAGGTGGGAGGGTTTTTTCAATCCAGGGGTTCGAAGTTATAGTGAGCTGTGCCTGCACCGTTGTACTCTAGCCTGGGTAACAGAGCAAGACCCTGTCTCTAAATAATAAAATAAATAGCAAATCAAAAAATGACAGCTAATAGGCAAACCAAGGAGATAAAGTAGAATCATATAGTAATTCCCAATTAAAAAAAAAAAAAAGCAGACTAAGAGGAAAAAGGGTGTAAAGAACAGGTGGAAAAATATAAAACAACACTGTAGTAGATTTAAACCTAACAATGTCAGTAATCAGATTAAAAATAAATGATCTAAAGGCAATTAAAAGGCAGTTAACGTCAAATTGAGTGAAAGATGAGACCCAACTATAAACTATAAGAAGTGTGTTTTACATACAAAGACACAAATAGGTTAAAAGTAAAAGGATGGAAGATGATATACAATGAGAATACTAGTCAAAAGAAAACTGGAGTGACTTTTTAAATATCAAAGTAGATTTCAGAGCAAAGAACATTACCAGGGTTAAAGAAGGTATCATGAGGGCCAGTCCACCAGAAGACCATAGCAATCTTAAATGTTTGTGCATCTCATAACATGGTTTTGAGATATGTGACCCAAAAGCTGATGAAACTTTAGGGAGAAATAGGTACAAATTATAGTTAGAAATTTTAATACTTTCAATTATTTATTGAAGATATTAATTGGTAGAATAGTAGGCAGAGAATCAGTAAAGTACAGCAGACTTGAACAAAACAGTCAACAAACTTGCTCTCATTGACATCTGTAGAACATTCTGTCCAACTAAAGTCTGTTTTATTTATACATTATTTTTAAGTACATGGAGAATATTTATCAAGACAGACACTATTCTAGGCCATAAAATAAATCTCAGCAAATTTGGAAGGATTTAAGTCATGCAAAGTATGTTCTCTGATCAAAATGGAATTGAAGTAGGAATCAATAACAGAAAAATCTCTGAGACAGGTGCAGTGGTTCACATCTGTTAACCCAATGCTTCTGGAGAGGGGAAGATCACTTGGGGCCAGGAGTTGAAGACTGGGCAACATACCAAGACACTGTTTCTATAAAAAAAAAATGAAAAAGCCTGGGCGCGGTGGCTCACGCCTGTAATCCCAGCACTTTGGGAGGCCGAGGCAGGTGGATCACCAGAGGCTGGGAATTCGAGACCAGCCTGACCAACATGGAAAAATCCCATCTCTACTAAAAATGCACAAAATTAGGCGGACGTGGTGGCACATGCCTGTAATCCTAGCTACTCAGGAGGCTGAGGCAGGAGAAATGCTTGAACCCCAGAGGCAGAGGTTGTGGTGAGCCAAGATTGCGTCATTGCGCTCCAGCCTAGACAACAAAAGCAAAACTCGGTCTCTGAAAAAAAAAAATTGAAACAAGGCAGTGACCCATGCCTGTAATCCCAGCACTTTGGGAGGCCAAGGCGGGTAGATCACCTGAGGTCGGGAGTTCAAGACCAGCCTGACCAACATGGAGAAACCCCATTTCTACTAAAAATACAAAATTAGCCAGGCATGGTGGCACATGCCTGTAATCCCAGCTAGTTGGGAGGCTGAGACAGGAGAGTTGCTTGAACCTGGGAGGCGTAGGTTGCAGTGAGCCGAGATTGCACCATTGCACTCCAGCCTGGGCAACGAGAGCAACACTCCATCTAAAAAAAAAAAAAGAAAAGAAAAAAATTAGCTGAGCACAGTGATGCACACCTGTAGTGTTAGCTACTCAGGAGGCAGAGGCTGGAGGATTGCTTGAGCCCAGGGCTTCAAGATTGCAGTGAGCTGTCACAGTGCTACCATACTCTACCCTGGGCAACAGAGCAAGACCCTGTCTCTTAAAAAAAAAAAAAAAGGAAAGAAAAAAGAAAGGAAAGACCAATCTCTGGAAAATCCCTAAATATTTGGAAGCTAAATGACACACTTCTAAATCACTCATGAGTCAAAGAAGAAGTCAAAATAGCCAGGCGCGGTGGCTCAAGCCTGTAATCCCAGCACTTTGGGAGGCCGAGATGGGCAGATCACGAGGTCAGGAGATCAAGACCATCCTGGCTAACAAGGTGAAACCCCATCTCTACTAAAAAAATACAAAAAAAAAAACTAGCCAGGCAAGGTGGTGGGCGCCTGTAGTCCCAGCTACTCCGGAGGCTGAGGCAGGAGAATGGCGTAAAACCTGGGAGGTGGAGCTTGCATTGAGCTGAGATCCAGCCACTGCGCTCCGGCCTGGGTGACAGAGTGAGACTCCGTCTCAAAAAAAAAAAAAAAAAAGAAGTCAAAATAGAAATTGGAAAGTATTTTGAACTGAATAAAAATGCAAACAAGATGGCCGAATCAGAACAGCTCCAGTCTACAGCTCCCAGCGTGAACGACGCAGAAAACGGGTGATTTCTGCATTTCCGACTGAGGTACCGGGTCATCTCATTGTGGCTTGTTGCACAGTGTGTGCAGCCCACGGAGTGTGAGCCGAAGCAGGGTGGGGCATCACCTCACCCGGGAAGTGCAAGGGGTCGGGGAATTCCCTTTCCTAGCCACGGGAAGCCATGACAGACAGGACCTGGAAAATTGGGACACTTCCACCCTAATACTGTGCTTTTCCAATGTTCTTAGCAAACAGCACACCAGGACATTATATCCCATGCCTGGCTCGGAGGGTCCCACACCCACAGAGCCCCGCTCACTGCTAGCACAGCAGTCCAAGATCGAACTGCTGGGCGGCAGGGAGGCTAGGGGAGGGGCATCTGCCATTGCTGAGACTTGAGTAGATAAACAAAGCAGCCGGGAAGCTCAAACTGGGTGGAGTCCACCCTAGCTCAAGGAGGCCTGCCCGCCTCTGTAGACTGCACCGCTGGGGGCAGGGCATAGCTGAACAAAAGGCAGCAGAAACTTCTGCAGACTTAAACATCCCTGTCTGACAGCTTTGAAGAGAGTAGTGGTTCTCCCAGCATGGAGTTTGAGATTGAGAATGGACAGACTGCCTCCTCAAGTGGGTCCCTGACCCCTGAGTAGCCTAACTGGGAGACACCTCACAGTAGGGGCCAACTGACACTCACACGGCTGTGTGCCCCTCTGAGATGAAGCTTTCAGAGGAAGGATCAGGCAGCAACATTTGCCATTCTGCAATATTTGCTGTTCTGCCGCCTCCACTGGTGATACCCAGGCAAACGGGATCTGGAGTGGACCTCCAGCAAACTCCAACAGACCTGCAGCTGAGGGTCCTGACTGTTAGAAGGAAAACTAACAAACATAAAGAACATCCACACCAAAACCCCATCTCTAGCTCACCATCATCAAAGACCAAAGGTAGATAAAACACCAGAAATGGGGAGAAACTAGAGCAGAAAAGATGAAAATTCCAAAAATCAGAGTGGCTCTTCTCCTCCAAAGGAACGCTGCTCCTTACTAGCAATGGAACAAAGCTGGACAGAGAATGACTTTGATGAATTGACAGAAGTAGGCCTCAGAAGATCAGTAATAACAAACTTCTCTGAGCTAAAGGAGTATGTTCGAACCCATCACAAAGAAGCTAAAAACCTTGAAAAAAGATTAGATGAATGGCTAACTAGAATAAACAGTGTAGAGAAGACCTCAAATAACCTGATGAAGCTGAAAACCATGGGATGAGAACTACGTGACGCATGCACAAGCTTCAGTAGCCAATTCAAGCAAGTGGAAGAAAAGAGTATCAGTGACTGAAGATCAAATGAATGAAATGAAGTGAGAAGAGAAGCTTAGAGAAAAAAAGAGTAAAAAGAAATGAACAAAGCCTCCAAGAAATATGGGACTATGTGAAAAGACCAAATCTACGTCTGATTGGTGTACCTGAAAGTGACAGGAAGAATGGAACCAAGTTGGAAAACACTCTTCAGGATATTATCCAGGAGAACTTCCCTAACCTAGCGAGGCAGGCCAACATTCAAATTCAGGAGATACAGAGAACGCTACAAAGATACTCCTCGAGAAGAGTAACTCCAAGACACATAATTGTCAGATTCACCCAAGTTGAAATGAAGGAAAAAAATGTTAAGGGCAGCCAGAGAGAAAGGTGGAGTTACCCACAAAGGGAAGCCAATCAGACTAACAGCAGATCTCTCGGCAGAAACTCTACAAGCCAGAAGAGAGTGGCAGCCAATATTCAACATTCTTAAAGAAAAGAATTTTCAACCCAGAATTTCGTATCTAGCCAAACTAAGCTTCATAAGTGAAGGAGAAATAAAATCATTTACAGACAAGCAAATGCTGAGAGATTTTGTCATCACCAGGCCTGCCCTACAGGAGCTCCTGAAGGAAGCGCTAAACATAGAAAGGAACAACTGGTACCAGCCGCTGCAAAAAGATGCCAAATGGTAAAGACCATCCATGCTAGGAAGAAACTGCATCAACTAACGAGCAAAATAACCAGCTAACATCATAATGACAGGATCAAATTCACACATAATAATATTAACCTTAAATGTAAATGGGCTAAATGCGCCAATAAAAGACACAGACTGGCAAATTGGATAAAAAGTCAAGACCCATCAATGTGCTGTATTCAGGAGACCCATCTCACGTGCAGAGACACACATAGGCTCAAAATAAAGGGATGGAGGAAGTTCTACCAATCAAATGGAAAACAAAAAAAAGCAGAGTTTGCAATCTTAGTCTCTAATAAAACAGACTTTAAACCAACAAAGATCAAAAGAGACAAAGAAGGCCATTACATAATAGTAAAGGGATCAATTCAACAAGAAGAGCTAACTATCCTAAATATATATAAACCTGATACAGGAGCACCCAGATTCATAAAGCCAAGTCCTTAGAGACCTACAAAGAGACTTAGACTCCCACACAATAATAATGGGAGACTTTAACACCCTACTGTCAACATTAGACAGATCAACGAATCAGAAAGTTAACAAAGATATCCAGGACTTGAACTCAGCTCTCCACCGAGCGGACCTAATAGACATCTACAAAACTCTCCACCCCAAATCAACAGAATATATATTCTTCTCAGCACCACATCACACTTGTTCCAAAATTGACCACATAGTTGGAAGTAAAGCACTTCTCAGCAAATGTAAAAGAACAGAAACTGTAACAAACTGTCTCTGAGACCACAGTGCAATCAAATTAGAACTCAGGATTAAGAAACTCACTCAAAACCGCACAACTACATGGAAACTGAACAACCTGCTCCTGAGTGACTACTGGGTACATAACAAAATGAAGGCAGAAATAAAGATGTTCTTTAAAACCAATGAGAACAAAGACAAAAACATACCAGAATCTCTGGGACACATTTAAAGCAGTGTGTAAAGGAAAATTTACAGCACTAAATGCCCAGAAGAGAAAGCAAGAAAGATCTAAAATCAACACCCTAACATCACAATTAAAAGAACTAGAGAAGCAAGAGCAAACACATTCAAAACCTAGCAGTAGACAAGAAATAACTAAGATCAGAGCAGAACTGAAGGAGACAGAGGCACAGAATACCCTTCAAAAAAAGCAATGAATCCAGGAGCTGTTTCTTTGAAAAGATCAACAAAATTGATAGACTGCTAGCAAGACTAATAAAGAAGAAAAGGGAGAAGAATCAAATAGACACAATAAAAATGATAAAGGGGATATCATCAACGATTCCACAGAAATACAAACTACCATCAGAGAATACTATAAACA